TGCCTGCTGACTGTCCTCCAGCCTTTTTCCCTCTGGCTGCTATTTGTTGCAGACTGGAACCAGAGAGCAGGTAGGTCTGGGGTCTTGGAGGACTCCTCTTTGTAAGCCTGGAGCCGTGTGTCTGTATTTCCTTAGTGGAAGAATTGCTCTGCACAGAGGGTTGAAGAGGGCTGTATTCCAGCCTCCTGTGAGAATGTTCAAAGGCTTCTGTGTGAGGAGACACTAAAGATTGGTCAGCTTGGGAGAGACACCACTGTATATGGTAGAGGTCTCTGAAACAATTTCTGAGACAGAGGGTAAAGGAGGAGTGATTTTTCAGGGTTTCTGACATACAAAAAGTAGGAGCAGACTTTGGCAGCAGCTCTGAAAGGTGAATATATCACTTGCCTTTAGTTACAATACTTGTAGTTTCAGAACAGTGCTGATGTCAAATGGGTTCCAAAAGAGCCAGACCTTCCTGGTCATTGGCTGTAATCCAGACAGATGGGATCTTTGCGGTCTCGGAAGCTGAATGGGGGAGGGGTTTTGTCCCTGCTTACACCTCTGTGCACGGAACAGTGGCCTGGAGGGATAACTGACAGCCTTTCCAGGTGCTTTTATGCTTCCTCTGTCCCACTCACATTTCCTCACTGCTGCTTCTAGGCCCCCTTTTTCCAAGCTGGAAGATTCCTTTGAAGCGCTCTCTCTCTACCTGGGAGAACTTGCCATCCCACTTCCCTCTGAGCTGGAGGAGCTGGACCACAACGTGAGTGTGCAGTATGGACTGAACCGTGACAAACTACCTGAAAACACAACCTAGTCAGCTCATCCTGCTGCCTGAACCACTTTGCTGGAGCTGAGATGAGTGACAGGGAGGGAGGTGAACTTCAGCCACTTCCAGGGCATTAATGGGGCACCACGCTGTGTTTGCTGCACTGCCTCTCTCTCCCCACCCAACAATCCTCCTCTTGGACATCCTGAGTCACTGTGGATTTCTGGCATGTTTCAGAAGCAAAAAGGGCTGTTTCCTGCCAACTGCACCTGGGAAAGCTGCTCAACACTAATTTTCTGGTTTGAGAAATGTTTCTCTGGCCTTCTCAGGCTTCTTTACTGTGGTGCCTTAGAACTTGCCTGCAAGCTGTGAAGCCACCCTGGCCTGTCTGCCAGGGAGAGAACTGCTATGGGAGACTCTCCAAGGCAAGCACCAGCACTCCTGGAACTGCTGCTCCCACCGATTGCCCTGCTCAGAAAGCTGGAGAACTTGGACGTCCAGCAGAAGTCCCCACTAGGACAGCATGTGCATGTATGTTTGTGCATGTGTTTTCCAGAACAACCCATAGAGATTTTGGCTTCCAATGGGCATCAGGGGAGGGAGTGAAAAGCCCCAGGAATTGGGCAGCTCTCCTCAAATACCTTGTCCGTGGGGAAGTATGTATGAATTTTTGTTTTGGTTTGGTTTTTTTGGGTTTTTTCCTCCTCTCTCTGAATACCTCTAAGAGCCTGCCTAGAAACACTTAAGACTGAGCTCTGCTTGCCCTTCCTCATGGTGAGCAAGGCAGGCAGCAGATGAGCCACTTGAGCATCTTCAGACCCTGAGCTTGCACAGTGAGTTTTTGTGCCCAAGAACCTTAAACTAGGTGAAAGTATTTGAACCTGAATGTGTAGAACTGCACTAGGCACTAGCTGTGGACATCCCTGCAGGGCTGAAGCTGCTTGAGCTCTCGCCCTGTGGATGTGAGGCAACAAAGGGTGGCAGAAGGGTGCTCTTCAGAAAGCCAAAGGTCTGAAGTGGCTCAGACTGTGCATGAACAAGGAGGACAAGCCCAAGGTTACTTAGAGGATGGACTTCTCATGAACAGAAAAGTGCTGGAAAATGTCCCATCCTCCCAGGAGTGGCAGCTGGAGAACTAGTAACTCGGTTGCCATTGCCTCATCCTTTCCTGCAGGCTGTGCAAGTTGTTCCCTTTGAAGGTCCTTCTTGCAGCTGCTGCTGCAGCACCTAAGCTGATGCCCCAAGCAGAAACTTCCCTCAGGGCTGTTCCCTGCTTTTGGAGAGAAAAAGGGCTTGGAGTCATTGGGAGGTGGGTGGGGGTATATTTTCTTCCAGCACTTCTCTTCTTGCTGTCTCGGTGGGAGAAGGAAGAAAGCTACTGCTGTAGTAGCTCATGTGGTTGGCAGAACTGAACAAAAAGGTGGCTGAAGTCCTGCTCTTAAGTTTCACAAACATCTTGGTTTAACTGGATTTTTAGTGTGCTCCTTTCTCCCCTCCTCCCTTCAGTATTGAATGGTGGGGAAGGGGTGTTAGTCTTTGATGTTAATTTGATTTCCTCCCCCTACCCATGAGTTGAAAGTATTATGTAAAATAACATGGGACCAGCCATCACCTGACAGAAGTTGTGAGTATAGGTGTGGTTTTAGTCTGTGTAGTAGTCTTTTATAAACACTCTGGAGGAGCCTCTCTAAACTGGGTCCAGTGGATTCAGGATTGTTAATAGGATTTGCCCTTTCTTTCCCCCTCCCAGGCTGGTTTATGAGGGGACCCCCTGAAGGGGACAGTCCTGGGTGATGTGTGGGTGGGGTTTATGAACTGTGATTTGCACAGGGCCATGTTCTAACTAAATTAAAAAGCAGTAAATGAATGCTATAAAAACAAGTTTTTGTGGTCTCTGTTACATAAAGCAAGAAGCTGTAACTTTCTTGGGTTTCTATTGTTGTCCCAAAATGACAATATAACTGCACTGATCAGGTATCATCTAGAACTCCTTTTCTGGAGCCAAAGGTCTCTGACACATTTACACAACTACAGAGATCCAGTGCAAGTGCCCTATAGGACTATTTACCTGGAGAGATGGAAATGGAAGTTGTCAAGTTCTGTTGGTTGGTAGTTGCTGAGGTTTGTTGAAGGGTAGACAGAAGTCAGCAGAACACAGAGCCTCTCTCTCCATTTTCCTTTTCTGATCCAGGGATAAAAATACAGCCTGTTCTTGGAAACCTCCTCGTCTGAAATATGTAGCTCAAGGGGTATTTGTTACAGCAACATCTGAACAGAAGAGCTCATTCTGGCAGTGCCTCCTGGGACTTGCTGTGCTCTGTCTCCTTTCCAGTGCAAGGCCCTGAGGGACCGAGCTGCTGCTGGGTGGCACCAGAGCAGAACTGACCCCCACGGGGCCAGCCTGCTGAGGCTCACACCCCCACAGCTGCTTTTCAGGAACAGTGTCCCAGTCCAAGACAAGCTGCTGGCAGCAAGGAGACAAGCTCCATTCCCCTGTCAGTGCTGGTGAGTGGAGGCACTGCTAGTAGTGATTTACCTTAGGGCCTGGCAAAATAAAGTGGCATCTTCCCTTCTCCTCAGTTGGAAGTCTGCAACAAGTGAAAGGATGCTGCTCTGGCAGGAGATGAGCCACAGTCCACACAGGTCTACAGAGTTTTTCTTTTAAGCTTTAATACAAGGTAGCACAATCTGCACCTTCTCATGAGGTATTTAAAACATTTTACAAAGAAATGGTATTCAAAGGCATTTAAAAATAAAATGTTTCCCTTTTCTGAATCAAACATTAACACTAAGACCCCTGCTGCCAAGTGCTGCTCCCTGTTAGGCCCACAGCTATAAAGCAGAGGGCTAGAAAATTGATGTGAATGGCTTGAGTCCCCTGAGGCAGGGATGGATGTTTCCCTGAACTGGCCTTTGCCTTGGTGCTGTTTGGGAGACTGCAGCAATCACCCCTTCCAAACCCCCTGCAATGCTAAAAGTTGTTACAAAACCTCTCAGATAGGGCCAGGCTCTGTAAGCAAGTAATCTTACTGTACAAGATGAGTGTGTGAAGGAGGCTGGGCCAGGAGCCATCTCATAAGTTTGGGATCTTGCAAGAGCAGCTGCATCATGGTCAGGGTGACCTCCACAGCTGGCTTGGCTACTCTGTCCAGAGCTGGCTCTGTAGGAAGCCACAGGAATTTGGAGAGCACTATCCTCAGTGCTCAACCTGCTGCAGGTAACTGAAGGGCAGTTTTCTTTACTCCACAATTATCTGCTGCTGGCCTTTGGTCTCCTGATGTAAGTGAGCAGGAGGCAAGGACTACCTGGACACCTGTGACTGTGCATGTAGCACCACAGGGGAATGGAGATGTGGCCTCAGCCTTGGAAGACCTGGATTTGTCAAGCGTTTGAGAAGTGCTTTTCCAAATTGACACTGGGGCTAAATATACTGCTCCTGGTCAAAGCCATTCCTCCAATAAACTCTTCCTTGAAAACAAAACAAAACTGATTCAGTAGCAGTTTTATGGACAGTGTCACCATCACTCAGCCACTAAAGCAAAAAGGCAGGAACTATAATCAGAGTGTAATTAGCTAAGTCTGATATGAAGCTCCCCTCAGTCCCTGCAGTACTGCTCCCTCCTGGGCTTCCAGGCTGAAACTTAAGTAACAGTGCACACTGTTAAATAGGGAAAGGGACAGAAAAAGAGGAAACCAAGACCACATTCCGAGCTACGGGATCTGTGGCCAGTTGTGAGCCTGGTCCATCATCCCTCCCAGCTCCCTGGCATCCCATGGAGATAGGTGGGAGGAAACAGCAGGGTCTACCACACTATTCCCCAGCTGATCATGTACTGACTGGTGCCCCTCAAACAGATCATGATGAATAGCCCATTGTTCTGTCCCTCTGCATCACCTTCATCTGGCTTTCATCGAAAAGAAAACAAAATAGAAATGAACACACGTGACCCCTGCACTCACAGTGGGAAGCTGGAGGCTTTGCTCAGCCTGTGTCACTCCTGCCCAAGCTCAGGCACCAGGAGTACCTGCCTGCCCCATGAGCGGGCCACTACCATCATGCGTGTCCTCCACAGGCGTCTGGTTGGTGTGCACCACGATGGTGTTCTCCTCCACAAGCTCGCAGGCGGGGTTGGTGAACGCCGAGAGCGGCAGTGTGATGCGCTGCATTTCGCGCTCGTACACCTTCTGTTCGTGCTTCTCCTTCAGGTCCTTCCCCCTAGATCAAAAAAATAAAACAGGCAAAAGGCGTGTGTGCGTGGGGCGAGTGCCACCGCCTGGAGACAGTCTCAGTAAAGGGGATACAGAAGAAAACACAGGACTCTTCTCTTTAAGAAACAGATGTTTCAGCTACATACAAAGAGATAGAAACATCACCTACTGTAAGCAGAGGGCTCCATCTGAGCATCTTTAAAAAACAAGTGGCAAACTGAAGCCTGCCCCTCCCTCAAAGTGGCTTATTCACTCACATTGCTGCTGATAAATGGTGGCTGTAAAGCCAGGCTTCTCCTTCAAACCATGGAGCTGACAAATGTTTCCTTACACCTTACAGTCCCAGAGCACTGCCTGGTGCAGGCCCAGGGGAGCAGTGACAGCACATAGCTCACTGCTGTGGAAAAGGGTTTCTGTAACCTGTTTCATCCGATAGAAACAAATATCAAAGGTGGTGATAGATTCTGCCTTTTGCTGCAGAAAAAAAAAAAAAAAAAAAAGTGTAGCAAATTAACCCATTTCTGAAAGTATTACAGCTTACTTCAGAGCTGGTTCTGCCTTCTGCTGCTGCAGCTAACAACTTACTTAATACCTCAACCAGCTCCTCAAACCTACCTCAGTTTTCAGCCTGTTGCTAAGGGAGGCAATACCTCTGTGAGTTGTACTGAGGAAGAATTACCTTACTTTAGAAACGGATGGCATTAATAGCATGCTGTCTCCAGAAAAGCTATGTGTATCAAAAGCTACTAAACTCATTAAAGGTTTCTCACCCTCAGCTTCCACATGCAATTTTGAGAGCAAGGCAAGAGAGAGAGTAAACCTGCACTGCAGCCATGCTGTGAGCACTCCAGGGTGGAAGAAGCAAAGCTGCATTTGCACACAGCTCAGCATCAGTCTATTGCTTCTTCCTGCCAAAGACAGGAGTGAGGTGGGACAGGTGCCACTCACAGACCTCCCCTGGGGCTTGTGATCCCAACTGGGCAGAGCTGCTGGGGTTTCCTGTCAGCACATGAGCATTCTGGCTGCTTTTCAAAGCTGCCTACAAGTGTGCAGCAGTAGCTGCTGGTCCTACCAGCACACGAGATGGCGTTTTCTGATGTGATGCCTCAAATCGGATTCCTCGACAAGCAGCGCTCTGTGTTTTGCCCCTTATGTAACACTCCTCCCTCTGCTTTTTTTCTCTCGGCATTTATTATAAACACTTACATAAGGACATGTCCCAGCTTGGGAAAGGGCTCCTTCTGCTTGGTTGTGTCAGACTGCTGTCAAACAGCCAAAATACAGAACAAACCCTCCCAGAGGAGGGAGCCTGGGCCGTCACTTGTGGCAGCGACACTCACTGTGAGTTGTTAATCCTGCCCTGTCTCTTACAGCTAAGCTGCTTGCTACTACCACTAACCTCAAATGCTCCTGAGCTACAGAAACATTTCTGTCCAACGTAGTGAAGTGGATGAACAGATCATAACTTAAGTGTGACTCAAAACTGACCTTAAAGTATACAGAAGCTTTGGTAAAAGGAACTTTGTTTGACAAAAGAAGGTGATACTTGATATTCAGCTTCATAGGATATAAGGCACTAGTGACAAAGAATTTGCCAATTGTTCTTCTAAAGCTAGCTAGACTAGAGGAACCAAGGGAACCAGTGGTCAGACAGAAGGACTGTTCTTTTTCTTATCGCAAACTTCCTGTTAGGGCACCTGAGATTTGCTCTCCCCAGCTCTTAAGTAAAATTCGCTTCCCTTAAATGCATCTGAGAAAACCACATCAAGGCACACATACCCCCACACAAAAACCAACGAGGGCAGTTTGAAACTTTAGATGGGATAGAATACCACACTGATGGCTGAAGCTGAGAACTATGAGATTACATTAAATACCCCCTTCCTCAGTGCCACAATCAAAACTCTTGAACAATGTGCCATATTAAAACATATGCTTCTATCTGTGTTTTCCCTGGGATCTGGTTGGGTCTGCAGGTGCTCAAACATTCCTGTTCTAGATACATAGCTTCGTGCCAATGCCAGCTTTCAGACAAAGGAAGATAGCCACTGACCTCTTATAGATGTAACCCAGGACAATGCCAACTCCGATGGCAATGATTATCACCATCATGATCAGCCCCAGCACATATCCTGTGAAGAGAGAAAGTGAAGAAGCAAAATTAGAGGTAGTAAATCCAGTTACCATTAATTTCAGAGCTTCAAACCAAATCCATCCTGCCAGAATTACAGGAATGGATCCATCACATCATCCTGGGTTTGTACCTAGTGTCCCCAAATCCTTCTTTTCTTTGGAGTTCATCTGCACTCTCTGACTGATCCCAATGACAGGCTGCACAGCGGCTGCCTCGCTCCGGGAAGGCAACGTGTCAGCCGGTTCAAACACCTGGTTGACCTCCTGAGAAGTCCCAACTTCTGCTGTAGGGACTGGGGCTGTGGCATCTGTAGCATCTGTTGAGAGGAAAACGTGACGTATAAAATGCCAAGCATTGATGAGTACTTCAAAATAACATGTCCCTTGTGAGTGGGACAGATCTAGACTGGTATCACGGAACTGCCTTCAAAGTACACTGACAAACGGTTGTTCCCTCTTAAGCTGTTGCCAGAACTCCCACCAATGCAGACCAGAAAGGTACTCCCACCCCTCAGATGCTTTTGGTATGAACCTATTTAATGAAGAGCAAGCGCAAGGCACCACCACAGACAAGATAAGAAGTCAGACAGCAGAACAAATCCCAGGTTTAGGGCATGAGTCCAGGGGATACACAATGACTTCATTTAGTGTACAGATCGATCTACAGGCTGCAGCTTCAATCATGATGAACAGACATGAGCAACATTATGAGCATCTCCGTCCCCAAATCTCCCAGGAGTCTATTTATCTCTCTTCTACTTCAATCTTCCTAACACAGGAAGGTTTGATGGAAGGAGACTTCCGCTGGTGTGAAAACAACCTGGGGACATCCTTCTCACCCACCCTTCTTTGCAGCCCTGTAGCAAAGTCCTTTAGCACAAGGGACAGGCTAAGTCAGAGCAACACTGCAGGCAGCACAGCCACGGCCTCGTGTAGGTACAGCAAGTCCCTGCTCAGCCAGAGCCCAAACAAAGATGTGTAAGGATGGATGCTCATAGCACAGACTCCTCCCTAACCCTGTGGAATTTTTATCAACCGCATTGCAAGATTTTCAAGGTAGTTCCTTCTTTCATGACACAGTTAAAATGGAAGCTGTAGCACACAAAGCTATGACAGTGGCAAGTAGGTATCTACTACCTGTCCTAAACAAATCTACTTTTTGTAATGCTATGCACAGGACGCATCCACACCTGAAAACTCTCTCCACCTGGATCTCACCCCTCAGCTGGCACTAACATCATCTGGATTTTCTATCTGCAGCCATTTTGAGTCCTCAGTGGAATGTGAAATGGAAGTACAGATGGGGAGTTAGAGACAGGAAATCAAGGTCTCTCGCACTGCACTGCACGGTGACTTTACGTAGGGTCAGCCAGAGAAGCTGAACTAAGGGGACACGAGTACAATAAAAAGGTGACAACTCTGCAACACAAAAATAGCCAAAACCTTTAAATATGTAAATGGCATATTGGCTGAAAGGTCAGGTAATTCTTCTGATCCCAAAGCTGCAGGCCTTTGGAGTAAAGGTCTTGGCAGCAGAACATTTGTTTTGCTTCATCTTCAGTGAAAAGCAGGAAAAACAAATGAGCAAGTGAAGAAAAGGGAAGGGTGCATGTATGGGGGGTAAGTGTTTACATGCATGAAGAGCCATCCCAAGGGGCAAGAGAGTGCACAAATCTTGAGCTGCAACAGTTAAAAAAAAAACCCAAGTGGTTACTCTGCCCTCAGCCAATACTGACATCGCTCCCTGAAACTGGCTTCAACTACAGTTCTCTAGCAAACTGTTTCCCAACCTGACCCTCCAGGAGGAATTCGGTGTTTGGAGTTTCCCATTTCTTATTGCCTTCCCTTCAGTTCCCATCTTCTACAAGTTCTTCCCCTCTGCCTGTACCTGGATTCACCCTGGCACACGTTCAGCAGCGGGACACTTGTTTAGACAGCAGTAACAGGCCCCGCAGAATGGTCTGCCCACACCTCTGCAGTTCCTAGGTGCCCAGACCTCAGCCTCTTTGTAACGCGGCTAAGGAGCCCCAGAGCGATGAAGAAAACGGGAGGAGTGGGGGGACAAGGCTTCGCGCAGGCTTTTTCTGGCACTAACGGCAAAGTTCAAGGAGCAGGGCACGGCACAGCTGGGAGGCAGATGTGCACACACAGACGAGGGCTGGAGGGCGGCCCCGGGTACACGCCGTTCCCGGGTGAAGGC